CCCGCTGCCTTGGAATATTGCTAATTCGATATTATTTGTTTTATTTAAACATGAAAACTCTATAAACTAAACTAATTATGGTTATTTACAAGCACATCAATTCCTTTCGCTGTTAACTCTTTAAACTGTCGGTAAGACTTTAAACTTCTTAATTTCAAAAATGTACTCGAGCTGCAGCTTCCCCAGTTGCCGCTCATTTATTCGTTATTATTCAGTTTTTGTATATGCACGTGGTACTTGCCGGCTGATTGCCGGAATAGATAAAATGGCGCAGACGCTATAATTATGGCTGGCTAGCACTTTTTATTTCATTTTCACTCAATGAAGCGCAATAATTGCTGCGATTAATGCAAATTCTTCTAACGCTTCAAAGGCATAAAATTTGACTGCACAAAAGCCGGCACATGACCGGAGCACGCCCATGTCTATACGCCCACATAGTTGGCTGCGCGTCGAGACTACTGTCAACCCCTGGCGACCTCTTTGCTGCCTTCCCCCCAGGCGTCAGTTAATACTGGCAATGTGTATGCAAATGAGTTTCCAATGACTTGGTCCGAAAACAAAACGCCGCGCACAACAGCAGCAAGGATGATGTCTGCTGCACTTGAACTTGGCTTTGGCTCCGGCCCGCCCGGTCTCCAGCGAGGCGAGCCCTGTCGGTGGCCATTAGCTGTGCGTGCATGTTGCATGTGTGTGCAAGAAGAAGAAAGCGTTGCCTGTATTATAGCGTAGTTTGCACTTTTACTGCAACCCGTGTTTGGGACTGTGTGTGGCATGTCCCTTGTGCCTTGTCCAACTTTAAACGCGCAACGCAATAAGATAAGCGCGCGCAGCAATTTCTGTTTAATGCATGCCCCTTATTTTACGTGCTTATCGCGCCTTAAAAGCCACTTCGCGTTGACACTAAAAGCCTCAATGGTCGATCCACCTTTCAAGCCGATATGCAGATATTCAAGTGGATTTCAGTCACAGTTTTACGACACAAGTTGACCACTTTATGGTTTAAATTTTGTTTGTCTTGTTTATTATTCCTGTAATTTGACATTATTTAAGTGTTCATTTTTTTTTAAAAGTGTAAACTCTTTACCGCGCAACATTTGAAATTGAGTGTCAGTGTTGAAAAGCCAACCTAGCTAGTCTGGCAATACGAACACAAAGCGTTACCAGTGTGTAAACTCCTTACCGCGCAACATTTGAAATCGAGTAGCAGTGTTGAAAGGATCATTGTATTTTAGCCAATCTGGCAACTCCAAAGCACAGTGCTACCACTGTGTAAATACTTGTTGCTTTTCCACAAGTTGGCAGCGCATCTATTTACGAAAAAAAGAAGCAGACTAAACGCTTATAAAACATTTTTAAGCTTTGCCAAAATACCCGAATCTCGCGAAAAATGTCAAAGCATACTTTAATAGGTACGTTTAATAAATACGAACAGACATTGGCTCTAAACCAGACTTAACAGCGGCTTTGGCCAACAGGTGGCGGCACCGGTTTCATTGGCAGCCATCTGGCCAAGCACCTGGCCAAGAAGGGCTATGAGATCACCGTCGTTTCGCGGATGCCTGGACCGAAACGCATTACCTGGCATGAGCTGGAGAAGCAGGGTATACCCAGCAGTGTTAGTTCCGTGGTAAATACCACCGGTCAGAATGTGCTGGATCCGACAAGACGCTGGACGCCCGGCTTCCAGCAGAACGTTTGGAATTCGCGCGTCAACTCGTCCAAGACGCTAAGTAATGCCATCGAAGCAGCGCCACAGGTCAAGTCCTTTGTGAATCTATGTGGCGTCAGCCTGTACCGACCCTCGGCTACCAAGACCTACACCGAGGAGGACCACGGCGAGAGCTACGACTACATGTCGCGCCTGTGCCTGGCCTGGGAGGAGGCAGCACGCTCCGCTGACGCCGGAGACAAGGCCTGCAAGTGTGTAGGTGTTTGCCATATTGTAACATATCAAGAACTGATTTTATCGGACACCTTAGAGCATAGTGCGCACTGGCGCAGTTGTGGGACGTGATGGCGGCATGATCAAATCCATATGGCTGCCATTCAAGCTTGGCCTGGGCGGTCCAATGGGCGCCGGACAGCAGATTATGCCCTGGATACACATGCACGACCTGTGCAGCCTGATCCAGCATCTTATTGAGAAATGCGAGACGGGCGTCTTCAATGGCGTCGCTCCAGAGATAGTCAGCAACAAGGGCTTCTCGCAGGTTGGAACAGTTTCACATGCTGCGCACAAGCAGGCTCTAATCCTCCTCTATTCCCACAGGCATTCGCCAGTGCGCTGAATCGTCCCTGTCTATTCCCAGTGCCCGAGTTTGTTGTCCATGCCATCTTTGGCAAGGAGCGTGCCGCGCTCCTCTTGAGCGGCGCCAAAATACAGCCCAAGCGAACGATCGCCTCCGGCTACCAGTTCAAGTATCCGGATGTCAAGTCTGCGGTGGCCGAGGTAGTCGGCAAATAGCCTGGAAATAAGTGGAAACAAGCAGAGATTTGTATTAGCAAATGACATTGGCACAATATAGTCTGTTATTTAGTTGATCTTCCTTTTTTTTATTATACAAATTAAACTAGAGCAAACACGCCCCGCAATTTGTTTTGTGCAATCGCGAAGAGCTGTGATTAAAATTGTGAAATTTTTAGTGCGGTAATTTAGCAAAAATTGTTGAAATTTAATGTGTTTATCCATTAGCCATGGCCAATTATCGCTTTATTTTTTTATTTTTATTAATTTATGTGGTGTAATTCGAAGGGCTTTAAAGGAATGAATGGGGCCTACAATCTAGATAAGCAGGGTTAATCATGTTTAATCCTAATCCTTGTTTACCTCATAATAAATCTTCTTCCCTAGCCCTGTTTGTGCTTACTTATCGAATTATCGTATTAATTCTGCTCAATTAAATTGTATTTAATAATGGTACTTTACCAGACAAAAACAATTAAGAGCGCTCGAGCGGGAAGTACGCGACTTGGAGATACCCTGCACCGAGCGATATTTATCGATTCCAGGGAAACGGGTCGAGCTATTGATTATTTGAAATAAATTTGATCTGCGAATCTCCAGGTCTTTATGTTTTTTATAATTGTACTTTAACAGACAAAAACATTAATTATCGCTTGAATTATACAACTAGGAGATACCCTGCACCGATCGATATTTATCGATTCCAAGCAAACGATTATCTGAAAGCTATCGATTAATCGAAATAGTCTTGATCTACGTTCGAGTCTCTAGCTCTTAGTCTCTAGAGTCGCGTTCTCATTTGTCAAAAAAAAAGCCCTACCACACGAGTGTAAACAGATTATCCGCAAAAAATAAAAAATAAAAAATGTCAATTGAATTAATTAGGCAATCGAGATAATTGCATGGTAAAAAAAAAGAAGTTAATTTAAAGATTGGCAAAAAAGATCATTTATTTGTGGACGCCACACACCAAAAAATATAGATATAAGTATAATATTCATAATTACCATGGAAAAACCAGCGACAGCAGCAGCTATAAAACGTCAGATCAGTTCGAAACCAGCTCAGTCGTAGCCCCCCATTGGAACCGGGCTGAAAAATAATGTTATCGAAGTATCAGCAATTATTGCTCGTCATTGTCGGGCTGTGTTTGGTATGTAGAGTGTAGAGTGTGTGCGGAAATGGAGCTGGGAGATAAGTGTAATTTAATATTAATTACGGAACAGAGCGTGGCCCATGCCGACGTTGACTGCAGCCAACGGCCCAAGTTTGTGAATCCCATGACATGCTGTCCCATGCCCGAGTTTGTCACAGCCGAGCTGAAGGAGAAATGCCAGCAGTATAATATAACGCCACCGTCGCCGCCGCCCATGTCCACGGAGCAGCAGAGCGGCGAGGGCAGGCGTCCGCATCCCCATCATCATTTCCTGCCACCCGTAAGCAGACTGATCCCACACTGAATCCCTATACGAACTCTTTTCTCTGCCGTCAGTGTTTCGTGTCGTGCGTCTTTAATGAGACTGGCATCTACGAGGACAACAGCCTGGATGCGGACAAGCTGAAGGACTATCTGAGCATTGTTTTCAAGGACAGCGAGGATTTGCAGACTGTGGCCAGCGACGCATTTACCACCTGTGCCGCCAAAGTCGACGAGCGGCAGGATAAGATGGGCAATCGTCCGCGTCCCTCACCACCGCCCGGCATGCCACTGTGCCCGCACAAGCCAGCCTTCCTGCTGGGCTGCGTCTTCAAGAACATGATGAAGAACTGCCCGGCCTCCGTGTGGACCGATACCCAGGAGTGCAACGAGACTCGCGAGTTCTTCAAGAGCTGCAAGCCTCCACATCGCCGTCAGGCAACTGCGGCTTGAGGAAAATTAATTAATCTTACAAAAACAAACAAAAAATACCAAAAAAAATTAACAAAGTCAAATACCTCAGTCAAGCCTCTATATAACCCGAATAAATCAGATCAAATCTGTAAACAATTTGCGTGTCGGATATTAAAACTAAAAATCAGCTCCATATCCTCGGTTTTGTCATCCTAGATACTACATCGATTCTTCCTTTCTGTTCAGATCTACCCAGGAATTATCGCCCCTTATCCCTATTATGATTCTTTTTCGTGTACTATTACAAATTACGTTTTCTCCACAAAACTTTCTCTACCTCTAATAAAATGGGTGCTTTCAGGATAACTTCGCGAACTCACTGAACATTCCCAGCTATGAGCAGGGGCATAGCTGGCCGGACAGGCTCCACATATCCCCACATATCTCTTTGTCCTAACTACACACTGTACCTTTTCTCAATATTATTAAGTTCTACATAAAATCTGTTTTATTTTGCGACTCTCAGCGAGAAAAGGGCAAAAGGTAGTCACAGGGTTGATGATAGAAAACGGAGGTTCCTCAAGTATGCATAAAGAAAACCTTGGGTCAGCGTTGGATCTGGCTGTGGATCATTTAATTGAAGTCCGATTTGTCATGATTCACTTCACTCAAGCTCTTCTATTTTACGCTATTGCGTACAGCTTGTCAACTCGTTTCTCGCTTAATTTTTATATTCAATTCAAAGCAATTTCCATGTAATTTGGTTTTGTTCTCGAATCATCCTTTGTGGTTCTTATCGGCGCCTTGCACGTCTGGGCGCCCAATGAAATAGAAAATTCGATTTGCCGTCACAGAAATTACTCAACGGGCGCATGTGCCGAACAGGCAGAACAGAGTCCGGGCTTTGGTTAGACCTGAAACCATCCTCATTCGCTGGCTGGCCTTTAGGACGTGCACATGGCGAGCGTTGAGCGGGAGTTGACGCATTTTGCGGAGCAGTGCCGGAAGCAGCGGTTCAGTGAGGCGGAAATGCGCAGCATATGCCAGCCCCTGGCCTGGCATGTGCGCCTGGGGCAGCTGAGATGGTGGACGCAGTGGCTCCTGCTGCCCGGACTGCTGGTTTATTTGCTGTGGAGCTACTGCGACACGTGCGCCTGGACGGCCAGCGCCTTAGGGCGTCTGCTGCTCATACAACTGCTGCCCTATTGGAACTGGACGCCCTACTACAATGCCAAGTGCCTGATCGAGCGCGGCGCAGCGGAGCAGCGATTGAAGCCAAAAATCCTGGGCAAGCACGAGACGCTCTGGGAGAACTGTGCCCTGTGCGAGCAGCTGGGTAAGCAGAGCGCGCTCCTTATACTATCTAGAGTTATATACCTAATCCAACCGGCAGAGCGCATACCCATTGCCTCGAATGTCAGCTATTCCCTGCTGGAGGCGCAATATCTGGAGCGCGGCCTGCCCGTCATAGTTACCGATTGCCAGCAGCACCTGGAGCTGGATGATCTGCTGCTGCAGCTGCTGGACGGACCGCCCGAGCTGCTCGCCAGCGAACCCTGTGATGTGTCCAGCAATTTGATGCTGAGGCAGTTGTTTAATCTGGATGCTGCCTTGCAGAAGATTCCCGCAACTGCCGCCTGGCATCTGCAGTTTCGGAACTGTGAGTCCAGCGCCGTGAAAGCCTCACGCCTCTATGCTGGCAAACCCTACTACTATCCCTTGCATTTGGAGCCCTACTACTCCAGCTGGCTGCTGATGGCCCATCAGCAGCAGCGGCCCCTAACCGAGATCCATGTGCGCGGCCTCATCTTTGTGCAGCAGCTGAGCGGCCACTTCGAGTGGCGGCTGCGTCCGAAGCAGCCTTGCGACGAGGGCATCTGCCCCAATCTCAGCTTGCGTCTGACTGCCGGCGAGGGCTTGGTCTACGCCACAGATCTGTGGCGCCTCAGCTACGGCCTGCAGCAGCCCAACGTGAGCCACAGCTCGATAGCCACAGTCTTCGAGGTCAACTGGCAGTTGTAGGGGCTCAAATAATATTCGAAATATGCTACAGAATTATAAAAATCAAATATTAAAGCAAGCTGAAAACCAGAAAGAAAGAAAGACTTTGCTAATTGGTCAGCATCAATAGCCGAGTCGATCTAGCCATGTCTGTCTGTCCGTGCTCAGGTTCTCTTAGCGCCTGCGCAGTACGATTTTGTTTCCGATAGTCGATAACTTGTCCAAGTAATCGATAAAAATCGAAATCGAAATCCTGTTTTTTGAGCAAATCTCGTAAGTTATAATAGCTAGACTCACCAAACTGGACACGTACCTTGCAGAATAGTATATGTATATCAAGTATCTTTCATTTTATAGCTATCGCCACATTCCCGCTCCCACCACATAGCTATATATCAAATATGTAAACCAATTTCCCACCAATTGTAACCACAATTTTAATGAAATCGACTTTAAAGGAATAAACAATGATTTTATAGCTCAATTAGATCTGCCATTAAAAAATTGCATCAAGATCGGAAGACGTGTCGTTATATATATATATATATATGTATATTGGATGCCCACCTGCAAGAATTCTTACATATTTACATGTTTGTCTTTATTAAATTCTATCAAGAGCATTGCAATTGCGATAGTATTGTGTTGTTTGTAGGTGTTCCTATTTTAATTTGTTTTTTTTTTTCGTTAAGAGCCTCTTACCTGGGCCACCTTCCCAGTTCCCAGTAAAACTGACCGTTAACCGAATCGTACCTGCAAGTCCGGCATATAAAATGTGGCTTACCCAATTGAAAAGTTTTGTTGGCTGCTTGTCAAGTTGTTGCCCAAATTGTATTTACACAGAGAGACGCGGATTACAGATCAGAATACATCGGATATGCATGGAACTTAAATAATACTGAGTTTAGTTGAATCTAGGCCTGTTGGACCACCCGATGCGGGGCTAGGCGCGCCGGCACTTGGCCTCGACGAGCTTCTGCAAGGTGGCGGTCAGGCTGTTGATGGCATCGATTTTCATGCGCTCGATGCGCTCCTGCTGGACGAGGGACATTTTCTGGATCTGCACCTGTTCGCGCTGCAAACTGCGCTGCAGCTCCATCTTCTCGCGCTCCACGTCCAGCTTGCGCTCGAAGTAATCCTTCCACCAACCATCGTCCGACGGCGCCGGCGGCGGCGCATGCTGCTCGTACAACTTGCCGCTGGGCGCCATCGCCATCTCGCTGCTGTCGTTCTCCCGCTCCTGGGTGGTGCTGCCTGTCTGGTCCGCATCGTACTCGAGCTTGGGCTGACGCACCTCGGACAGGCTGTTGCTGTCCTCGTCGAACTCGTCGTTCGACTTGCTGTCCAGCTGCACCTGCGGCTGCAGCAGCACCTGATCCACGGGCGTTATGTAGGGCTGTGTGTCCTGCAATTGGGGCGTCGCTGGCTTCTGGTACTGCAGCAGCTCCTGTTGCGGTTGCAGCTGCAGCTGGGTTTGTTGCTGCTGCTGCGACTGTGGTGGCTGTGGCTGTGCCTGCACCGCGGCTCCCGCCGGCTGCAGCTGCATATCAAAGTCGGCCTTCTTGCCCTGCAAGTACTTGAACATCTCCTCGAAGAACTCCCAGTGCACATAGCCGGAGACATACTTCTTGTTCAGATTCTTGTTGTAGGTGATGAGTATGTTGTGCCACTTCTTTTGCACCTTGGCGGCGCTATACCGAAAGCCCAGGCGCTGCAGCTGGCGGGTGCAGTGCAGCCAGAGCGCCGTACGCTTCTGTCTGCCCTCCGTGAAGCTGCCCTCCATGGGGCCGCGTATGTGTATGAGGGCGCGTGTCGCCTCCGTTGTCCAGGCGCGCTCGTACGGACCGCGTCCAATGCTGTTCACACCGCCCGACAGCTCCGTCTCCTCCAGCAGGCAGTCGTCGTCCAGGTCGTCCAGCTCATCGTCGCTGATTGGATAAGCTAAATAAAAAAAAAGGCGGCAAGTAAAAAGCAAGATTACACTTGTTGCATGCTGCACGAAAGCGCTCTCTCAGCCTCTGACATTTAACATACTCGCTGCACTCCCGCTCTCTTGCTTTGCTCTCTCTCTCTCTCCCTTTCTCTTACCACCCACCACCAGCCTACATACTAGTTAACGCCCGCAGCTGCAAGGATGCTAGCGCTGCGGCTGCGGCTGCTGCTGCTGACGCATAATCATAGCTGCAGCCGCAGCCGCAGCCGCAAGATACACATTTTCACAGGCTCGAATTAGATTAACAGCCCGACTAACATTTTACACAAACACACACACATACACACAGACAATCGTCTAACGGTACTTACGTTCATTCTCCTCAACGCTGCCATTATTATTTGCCATATTCGCCGCATTCGCACCATTTAGCATGATTTGTGCCATTTTTATTATTAATTATATTTTGGTTATTAGTATTGCTTTAGCTGCCGTTTGATATTTTAATTAAATTTCGTTTTATGATTCGCCCATACAGCCTACTCGACTCTGGGCCCAAGCTACTCAGCCTAGACCTGACTGCTCTCAATAGTTTTCTGTTACTAACGGGGACATTTTGTGGGCTGCAGCTTCCAGGCTGCTGAGCAAATGTCTGTGCGCTCTCTCTTTTTCTTTCTCACTCTCTCTTTCTCTCTCTCGCTTACACAGACAGACAAAGCTCTCTCAGCTGCTCTCTGGACTCAGATCTGCGGGCGGCAGCTGTGTAACAGCAAGGTGGCTAGTCAATAGTATTGAAGTATCTAGAACGAACTGTGATTGCAGCTTAGTTGCGTGTGTGTGCGTGCGTGTGCGTGTGTATTTTAGTGTGGCGGGAGGTATTTAGCAGCTGCGCACTATTTCATAAATATTGCCTAATCATAATATGCTCTTGTCTAATTAAAATAAGTTAAGTCTAGAACTTTACATTTGAGCTAGAAAAAGGGAAATTTTGAATCGTTATACCTTTTAAAATGCACATTCTACCCCTTAAGTTAAATGCTAGTCATAATTTGTTTCTTAATATTCTCCATTTTGATTTTCCCGTGCTCCAGTTTTAGGCTCATTGTCTTTTAGGTGGTTTTCTTTTGAATTCCCTTAAGTCGTTGGCTTCAGGTAATCTGCATTTAATATTTATACACGGCAACAGATAATTACATTAACTGTACAGAACTTACTTTAGCAGTAACTGACAGATAGTCCTCATAATGTAATATGCTACTCGAACTTTATGCAACTTCCAGTCTTTTGACATAGGGCTATTTATCAAGTTGACAACACAAAAAACGGATTTTTTTTAAACTTTAAATTTTAGGATTGTATTTTTGATTTTGTCGGGTGACTTGGATCTAGAAAAACAGCTGCCAAGTGAAAATATCCAAGTGTTTTATTTCTCAGTATCGAAAAATGTGCTAATAGCCAAGCCATTATTATTAAAAAAAAAAAAAAAACATTGTTTTTATAATTTATATAAGAGTTTTTATGTTCTATAGTTAAACATTTCATTTCACAGGCTTTTTTGGGGCATCGTTGAATTTATCTTGAATCGTTTGAATGCCGAAATCGTCGGGGAATCTGTCGAATATACACATAAACTCAGGTGCAACAAATTTCAGTTAAAAATAGCACCCACTTTAGAAGTACCTGGACGATTGCCTTCAAAATGAAAAGTATAAGTTTCAACTTTCTAGTCATGCTGAAAATTTAAATCCAAAGCAAATATCTGGCAACGCTGTAATTGAACATCTGACGACGTCGCATAGCGTTGCCAGCTGTCTTAACGATTGCCGGTAAAATTCGCCAGGTTGGCAGCCCCAGACGCAACAAAATTGCGCGTGCTGAGCTATTTGTTAAAAAACTTGTGTTATTTCTTGTCAAAAGTTAAAAATCTAATAATCATTGTAGTTAAGTTAAGTTAGCTGAAATGCCTGCCGTCGAAAAGTGTGTCATGTGGGTGGCAAAATGTAACAAAGCCTGCGTTCAACGTGTTCTAAATGGTTTCTCTCGACAGATACGACTGGAAGCGCCTGTGGCAGATGGTCTCCGGCATACATTATGAGACTCCCAGGAGCACAGTAGGCGAGGAGCTGCTGAATGTGTGCTCCGAGCTGCAAGCGGGCGTGCTGCAGTTCAAGCCGAAGAGCGCCTCCAATGTTCAGCTGGCCGTGCTGCTAAAGGAGAAAAAGCAGGAGAAGCTGCTGCCCTTCACAGAGCGCTTGCAGGAGCTGCTCAATCTGGAGTCGGCTCAGTGCTGGGAGATCCTATGCTACTACCTGACCAAGGAATATCGCGGCTCGGCCAGCCTGCTGACACAGCTCATCTCTACTGAAACTAACATGGCCAAGCTGCTGGAGGACATCAGGCACTATTATTCGCTGGAGCGCATGATTGTGCTGAAGATTCTGAAGAACGTGCTGGTCTTTTACAATGTGCCCAATCATCCCTATCACAACGAGTACAGGCTGGTCGTGGAGAAGCTAACGCTGCCCCGTCTTCTGGACTCCTATCTGGATCAGCTGGACAGCCTGATCAATGAGCTGCCGCCGCGCAAACTGCTCGCGGGCGAGGGTTTCCACTGCACCGACAGACTGACCAGCTGGTCTGAACGCAATGCGCGCGAGACCAACGAGGTGCTGCACATACTTCTCTTGCTCAGCGAGCACATAAACCTGAGCCTGGCCCAGATTAAGCGTCTGTTCGCTACCATAAAGCAGCACTCCTTTGGCCGCATACAAAACTACCTTAACGAGAGCAACCAGTACCACAAGGAGCTGATCAAAAATCTCACCTACTCTGAGCTGATGTTGCTTATAAAGTGCCTCGACTTTGAACGGCCTGGCGACAACGCCCAGCTTATTTTACAGCTCACCGAAGAGCTGCACGCGGACATAGGTGGCATGCATCATAGGCCAGAGCACGGCCCACTGCTGCTCGTCTGGATGCTGCTGCGTCTGCGCGGCACCAACGATGCCGACGACGCCTCCAGTCTGCTGCGTTGCCGCCAGCTGGGCAAACGCGCCGTCGAGCTCAAGTGTTTTGAGCTGCTGCATGCCATTGCGACGCATGCGATGTTTGCGGACGATAGCCTCCTGTCACGCATTGTTCGCAAGACCATCTATAATCAGCTGTGCTACATGTGCGATCTGTTCGATGGCGACGGCAGCTGTGCTCGCTACGAGGGCATCTATGAGCTACTCTGCGAGCTGCTCTCCTGGCCGCAGTTGGCCAAGGATTTCTGCCAGCGCGAAGGTTTGTTACCGCACAGAGTATTTAGAGATTTGGATAATCACAAGCAAATCGTTTACAGAAGACGGCGTGCGCTCGCTGTACAACACATTGCTGGAGAACTTTCCGCTGCAGTTCATCGACTTGGCCAAGCTGGCCCAGGCACTCACCAAGGCGGGCCAAGGCAACTTTGTAAGCCAACACCTGCTGCTGCTGATTGGTTGTTTTCATTTAACTCGATTGTATTCGTCTTTCGCAGATTAAAAGCCAGCTAGAGACGCTGCCCATGCTGGCGCTCTTGTACGACGAGCAGGCGCACAAGGTCAAGGAGCTGGACACGAATGAATATGAGCTGACGAGCATATTGCAGCCCTTTCCGCGCATCGATTACACACTGCCCGCCGGCACTAGCTGCACCGCAGTGCAGCATGCCAATGGCTTTTATATGCATTTTCGGTGCCAGGTGAATTTCTTCAATGCACTGCATCACGAGATCAACTGCCTGCTGAGGGATAAGGCACAGCTGCATGGCGATTTTGACTCCAATGAGCGCATCCTGCGCGTGGAAGCGGGTCTCAAGTATCTGGAGCTGGCCGTGCAACGCACCAAATCGATAGAGGGTATTAGCTCGGAGATGGTGCACCCAACCGAGATGTGCATCGATTTGCTGAGCAAGTTCAAGAGCGTACAGTGCCCGCCCACACGCCTGCTGGCCATCTGCCTGAACGTTTGCACGGCGCTGCTGCCGCTGGTGGATGAGGAGATCTTCAGCCGTGTCAGCCATCTAGATATATTGCCCACCATCAGCAATCAGTCAGCGCACGATTACAAGCTCTGCGCCAGCGCCGTTTACTTCGAGTCGCGCTTCCTCGGCTCTGTCATAGACAACGTGGAGAAGAAGCACGAACGCTACGACTTCCTGCTGGCCTATCTTAGCTTCCTGCGCACCTATACGAAGCTGAAGCGCCAGCGCTATCTGCAGGTTGAAATACCTGGTCTGGTCTTTCTGCTGCGCGACATCTTTCCGCATCTGCACACCTGGCACTTCAAGTCGCAGCTGGAGAAGAACAAGATCTACTTCGAGGTGCTCAGCTTCATCTGCGATCTCTTCGATATTGTCGGCAGCAGCAGTAGCAGCGAGCCCAAGTGCGAGCAGCGCCAGCTGCTGCTTAATGTGTGCGTCTACTCGCTCTTGAATCTGGACAATGGCCTGATCTTATTGAGGTATACATAATTATATAGCAGTCTCTGCAATGCTAGCTTTTAACTTATGCTTCCTCTAGATTTGTGGGCGTAGGCAATGCCTTTGTGCAGTACACAATGGAGCTGGAGACCAACTGGATGCAGCAGCAGCCGCACGGACTCATGATGCTTGTGCGTCTGTCCATGCGCATACTCATGCAGGTGCTGTGTCTGAAAAGCCACGTCTATGCGCCGGACACGCTTTCGCCGCTGGAGGCGCTCATCTATACGCAGCCCAAGCAGCGGGACACACTGCGCATTATACCCACCGTGTGCAGCTATATGAGCAACATATTCGATCGCTGGCTGCCGATTGTTTCGTGCCGGCTGCTGAAGCGCATTGCGCTGGAGTTTAACATGTCGCTGCTGGCCTGCCTGGACATGGAGGCGGATCAGATACGGCTGACCTTTATGCAAAAGCTGCCTGACGAGCTGGAGAGCGATTCGATTAAGATAGCCATACTGGAGCTGGTGGATGCCTGCATAGCCAAGCAGCCGGGCGTTACGGAGGCCTTCTTCAAGGTCAACTATGCGCATGACAAACGCTCTTTCTTCGGTAAGGAGTGCGCACCTAGCATTGGCGACAGCATCGTCACCTACATGAAGGAGTTTCTCGATGCGCTCGAGGCCGAGCCGCTGACCATACAGCAGACGCTGCCTGGCAAGATCATGAACATCTTTCACTCGCTGTGGAAGCACAATCTCCAGATGCTGGTCGATGAGCTGCTTAAGCAGCCGAACTTCTGGAAGAAACTCTGCAGTCCGCTCTTCGCAAAACCGAGCGCCCAGCCGCAAGTGCGGGTCTACACGCAGCTAATAAATATTGTCTCCATCGAGATCTACAGCACGGGCAACAGCGAGAAGGCCGAACTGCGCGAAGTCATGCAGAAGTTCTTTGAGCACGACTGTTTCCAGCAATGGCTTGACTATGTCTTCGATATGCCAAAGGTGCCGGCTTTGACCGGCTCCAGCGAGGAGCTGCCCGACTGGATTTGTTGCCTGCAATCGTTCAAGGATCTGATTGTTATATTGCTGAAGAAGCAGCCAAAGTTCTTGAGCATACCGGATGCACAGTTCAAGCTGCTGGCCCAGAAATGTCTGACCGTGCTGGTCGATCGAGCCAACTACTTGGACGATATGCGTCCGTTTATTATGCTCGCCGAGCTCTACATATTCATATTGCTGCAGTTCAAGCAGGCCTACACGAGCAGCGGCGAGGAGGAGCAGCAGCTGATGGAGCAGCTGCAGCAGCTCATGAGCCGCATTTGCTCCTGCTACGAGGATTTGCATGTGCGTGCCAAGGAAGCCTGCCTGGCCATCATAACCAAGTGTGCGCATCTCTACACGAATCTCCTGGTCAAGGATTCGGCCATATCGTTGCGCTTTCTCAACTCTGTGGTTAGCATTATCTGCTCGGAGCTGCAGAATATGGAGAAATCGGTGAATGTGAATCAGCTGGCGCCAGTGCAGCCAATTTCCGAGGATTCCAATGCCATGGTATCCACGAATTCGCTGGTCTTGTGCCTCAATCTGCTAAAGGCGGCAGCTACTATTTTCAACACCGATGGACCCGGCAACTGGGATTTGCCGTTTGTCTCGGTACGCCTGTTCCAGCGTCTGCTGCACTGCGTCTCCTACACCCTGCCCATGCACAGCAAACAGCTACTCAGCGTCCAGCTGCTCGACGTACTGATTGTGTTCGCCAAGAGCAACTGTTCCAGCGAGTTTCTGCACTGCGACGTGGGCGAGCATCTGTGGCTCAAGCTGCTGCCGCCACGTGAGCTGCTGCAGTCTAAATACGAGTTTAACAAACCCACCAGCGATGTCTGGACCATGGAACAATGGTGGCCCATCTATGCCCGCGGCATCGAGCTGGTCAACATTATCTATGACAAGCACAAGAAGTGCTTCTTGCAGGAGGCCATCCAATTCGTGGGCATACATGAGGTTTA